TGGGGTCCTTCCTCCTGTGGGGCTGGGCGGGTGGCCCCGAGGGCAGTGCCTGGCCTGGGCACCGGGCTCACCGCTGCCGGGGCTGGGGGAGCTGCCACCCCCCGCAGCGAGGCCAGTCCTTGCTGAGGTGATTCCCTTGCTAAAGCACTCTGGTGTTTACTTCACGCAGGAGAGGAAGAGAAGGCGGCAGAGCTGGAAGAGCTCTATGGAGACATTGATGCTCTGGAGTTTTATCCAGGCTTGCTGCTTGAGAAACCCCAACCCAATGGTATTTTTGGGGAAAGCATGGTGGAGATTGGAGCTCCATTTTCCCTGAAGGGGCTTTTTGGAAACCCCATCTGCTCCCCAGAGTACTGGAAGCCCAGTACGTTTGGTGGAGCAACTGGCTTTGAGATAGTTAAGACAGCATCGCTTGAGAAGCTCGTGTGCCTCAACGTGAAGAAGTGCCCGTATGTGGGGTTCCATGTGCCAGATGCTGCAGAAAACAGCAGCCCTCGGGTTGGTGGATCATCTACTGAGCTCTAGCACCAGGACAACCTGCCCAGGTAGAGACTGCCCTTGCCCAGATGCCAGCTGGGCCGAGCTCCTGGCCTGGCACCGAGTATCCCACTCCTTCCTGCAGGGAGCAGTGGGGACACGGGGACCTGCGACCCCTGTGCCAAGCAGGAGAAGGACAGAAGACAGTCCCGTCCTGGGCGTGCTCCACACCAGCCCTCGAGGAGAGGCTGGTACCAGCTCTGTGCAAAGCTCGAGTTCCTCAGGAGAGCAGCTGCCACCGCTGCCCTCAGCAGACCCAGATCTCTTGCTAGTGAATACGTTGCACTAAGCCAGCTTTGGGGCTCCCCAGGGACACCCGGATCCCCAGGACTCTCTGGACTCCCCTGCGCTTTGTCACCCTCCACCCCCCCACTCTCCAGCACCAGCCCACCAGCTCTGCAGGGCTTCCCAGCCCAGGATGGAGGAGCACAGAGCCCGGGGAGCCCCTGCAGCCCTTCCCCTGCTGTGCCTGGCTGAGCTGCTGAGCTCCATGGAGGCGGTGGGTGGCAGCGCACAGCGGGATGGGCGGGACGTGCTGTCTGTTCCCTTGTGGGACCAACACATCCCGAGCCCAGGCCCAGCATCCCACCCGCTCTGGAAACCTCCTCAGTGAGCCCGGGGACCCCAGCCCCCCGCCGCCGAGCCCTCGCGCTTCCTCTGCTGTTCTTTCAGCCGTAGCAGTTTGTAGAAGTCGCTCACATCCTCCCCAGCCTGTCCACCACGACGTGCAGCCACGGCCCAGGCAGAAGGCAGCAGTTCGTGTCTAAAGGTGGTGTTTAGTCTGGTGAACCCACCAGCGTCACCCAACCAAGGCAGGGACGGGCACCCTGCGAGCTCCGGGGGCGGCGCAGAGGCGAGCGCCGACAGACCTGCCCTCTGTTTGAGCTCCCAGTAAACAGCTTGTAGGATGTCCTCTCATCTTTTAAACAAGCACCTCTGGGGCCCAGCTGCAGCTTGCCCACACAGGGACAGGCGTGGCCGGGAGGACTGTGCTGCCTGTGTTCGTGAGCAGCAGCAATGAAAACATCCTCCTGTGGCTGCGCGACCTCGTGCGATGAGTTACCAAGCAGGAGGTCCCTGCTCACCCGAGCAGAGGGCTGGAGGAAGATCTGTTATCTGCAAAGCTCTTCCATGCAAAGCGGTCCCTGCGGTTGGTAGGAAGGGCAGAGGTTGCAGCCGAGCTGCAGCTGCTCTAGGCTTTCCCTCTTCAGGCAGCCCACGGCCCTCCAGGCCCACTCCTGATCAAAGATCTGCAGTGGAAAGTCATCTAAACCCCACGGTGTCAAAAATGCCTAAGGCTGAGTGCCAAAGGAGTCCCCCGAGGCCACCTCACAGTTCCCTTCACATGCATCATGCCAGCACCTGCACAGCAACACTTGCTTGGATTGTCAACAAAGGCCCATTTTGAACATTCTAGAAAGAAGAGGTAGGTTTGAGGCAAAAAAAAAAAAAATCAGGATAAACTTTTCCCTTATTGCTTGGCACCCAGGTTGGCACTGTGATTAAATGCCTGTGTTATGTTCATCCTGGGATTTCCTTCCTGCCCTCCCTCACCAAGCAGCCGCCCGCATTTCCCTGCACATTCCCATTCCATGGCCAGATCCTGCTGTTTGTATCGGAACGTCATTAAATGGGAACAAACCCAGGTGATTTTAAAAGACTCCTCTCTCCCAGTGCAGGGTTACCCCTCCTGTAAAACCCCTTGTTTCTGGCTGCTCTCTCTGCAGTAGGCTGCTTTTTCCAAAACAAAACATTTCCCAGGGGCAACACAACCTACCCAACATGTGTTTTTTCAAATCCTATTTATAGTACTTCTTGAAGATTAAAATCAGAGATGATTTTGGCTTGGTACATGTACCTTCTTGATCTGAAGGGTGTGTCACACAAACCAGCCCCGGCTGCAGCCAAGAGGATGCACAAAACCACCCAACCAGAGAGCTGCTACCTCCAGAAGAGCCACCTCCTCCTGGGCCACGCCTGCATGCTTGGCCTGCACTTGACAGGTAGCAGGTAGAAAATGGGACAAAAAAGGCAGACAGCATTACAGCACATCTCCTCTCTACCCCTCTTTCTCCCTTGTGCTTATTATATTCTTTCAGATCAATGACTAATTGGATTCAGACCTTTTTTCTGTTCCCTTCTGCTGCTGGCACTGTAAACCATCTATCATACACCTGAGCACGGGAGTCACCTTGCTGCAGGCCATCCAACATGGAGCAGCAGGAGAGGCTTTGATCCTATTGCAGTTCTGCTGCCCCAGGGGAATAAAAAAGCACTTCATAATAATGAAACTTCAAAGCAGGCCGAGTGGTCAGCTCTGCCCTGACCCCCTTTCCAAGCCAGGTTTTATGATGCTAATGTGCACCCTGTCTGCACAACGGACTTCACTGAATCTCATCCTGAATATAAATCACAGTGACTTGGATTTATTTTCCTAAGTGTGCTGAAATCCATGCTCAATGATTTAATTTCATATAACTTCATGGTTTTGTTTTGGTTTGGTTTTTTTTTGCCGCAATTTTGGGATGAAAACAATTGATCCCTTACTGCATTTTAAATTCTGGATTCCTGCCAGTTGCCTGAAAACAGCTACAACTTGTGGCAATCAGTAATTTTTAATTGCAAATTATTTATTTTTCTGCTTACACCACTTTTAAAAACACATTTCAAACAGTTACAAGTTCTTCTTTTTCTATCCCAAGATCCATTCTTACTACCAGCCTAGTGCTTCCAGAGACATTCACATTTCTTCCCAGTGTTCAAAGCACCTTACATAAACCTTGCAATTAGATGTGATCATTAAACGCAGCATTATGTTGGGCCATACATTTAGCTAATGATAGTCTACTTTCCTCAAGATTAAAAAGTAACAAGCTAAATACGTGGCGCGTGAGAAAGCAAAGGTGTTGCAACAGCAGATGAAGTAGGCAGAGAACGATTCACCAAGCACAGGGAGCAGACATCACCGTGCTCATTCTGCCAGGCTTCAGCACCTCGGCCACACCACCACGTGCCCAGCGGAGCCTTCTCCTCACCCACACCATTGGAGGGTTTCATGCTTGCATTTGCTCCTCACTGCCAGTGGCTTCCAAAGCCACCCCCAGGTTTCCTCACTGCTACGTGGCGCCGGCCTCGCTGGAGGCAGGGTGAGCTGGAACCCAGCAGGAAGCCTGGAAACGACTTCCCAGTATTCCACCCCAATTTCCAAAGGAACCAGAGCACGGACAAAACCAACACCCCCCTCAATGACAATGTTTGTGAACTCCGCTGCTGCCTGGTACAAACCATGCTCCCCAGGAGCTGCCATCAAGGGAGAACCAGGGCAGTGGTGATGGCCTGGGTGCTGCTG